GCACCTCCCATATGAAGACAGGCTGAGAAAGTTGGGGCTGTTCAGCCTGGAGAAGAGAAGGCTGCGTGGAGACCTCATAGCAGCCTTCTAGTGTCTGAAGGAGACCCATAAAGATACTGGAGAGGGACTTCTCATCAGGGATTGTAGCGATAGGACAAGGGGGAATGGGTTCAAGCTTAAACAGGGGAAGTTCAGGTTAGATATAAGGAAGAAGTTCTTTCCTGTGAGGGTGGTGAGGCATCGGAACAGGTTGCCAAGGGAAGTGGTAAATGCTCTATTCCTGGCAGTGTTCAAGGCCAGGCTGGACAGAGCCTTGCATGATACAGTCTAGGGTGAGGCGTCGCTGCCCATGGCAGGGGAGTTGGAACTCGATGATCTTAAGGTCCTTTCCAACCCTAACCATTTTATGATTCTGCGACTATTGAAAATGTAGCGAATGGAAATAAGTCCGAAATCTGAAGAAAAAAGGTTAATATTACTTTTTGCAAATCCTTAAAAGAAAACTATTTAGATTACTCTTGATAATATTAGACCCAGCTAGTTAACCTTCAAAAACAGGGAGCAGGATAAAAAAAACTCTTCCATGGGAGCTTGCCAAGCAGGGACAATTTATTCTTACAATTTTATACTTATTGCCAATGCGGTGAGACACAATCCCATCTGATATTTGATCTATATTTTATGTAACACTCTTTCTTTATATGAAATTCTAAGAATTATTTTTATTAAATTACAGATGAAAACGGACCAAAAAAATGGAGAACTGTGAATTAAGCAAATAAATAAAATTCTATTTTTCATTATATTTTTAAAGAATCATGAAGTGTAATAGAATTTACATCCTAATATTTTCCCCTTCCTCCTAAAACTTAGCTAGTTTTGCATCTTCTGAGATCGATAAATCCATCATTCTTGTCAGCCTCAGTAATAAGTTTTCATTGAAAAAGCAACTTGATGAAATAAAAAGTAGCAATAGTTACATGTCAGGCCACCTAAGAAAAAACATATATTGCAAAGTCTACTCTCTGCTCTTTTGAACCTTTTTAAGATGTGATCTTGAAATGAGAGCTGCACTAAGCTTTTTCTTAAATATCTGAACTGCAGAGAAAGAGTTCCTCTAGGAGAAAATATTTTGAACTTCATATATGTGAATCAGCTGTTTTATTTGGAAAACCTGTAGAGTAATTTTGCTACATGAATTTAAAACAAACATAATATATTTAATTTAGTGCTTTTATTTTGTTGGAGGAGGATTTCTGAAACGACGTTTAATCTCTAGCTAAAGTTTCAAAGCTTGTAAGACTTAAAAAAATAGTTCACATTCCTGCAGTTTTAATTGAGCTGTATGTGAAGTTTTATGGAAAAGGAGAATTTTGGAACAATAGTGTCCAACTTATCAAAGGTAGTTTGATACCATTTTATTTAAGGTTAACAAGTAGCAATTCTCATATCACCCTAACTAGAGAAAGAAGCCAACACATAACATTTTTGTTACTGAGAAAATGGTTCTGTACCACATTCACAAATAAATGTCATTAGAAGACTTCTTTTCATCTGTGTTATACCCAGCAATTTTTAATACACTGATTCAAAATATATACTAAGTCAGATTTTTTGGCCAGAAAACACTCTGATCATGTAGTTCACCCTCCTTCATGACAGTCCCCTGGCCCTCCCTGAATTAATTACTGTTTTAAATAGTGGATGATTTCTAAAAGCAAAACATTTTAGTAGACAGAGAGCTCACAATGCTCCTAATAGTCTGTTCTGATGGGTAATAATTTTTACCATTTAAAATTCTTAAGATATTTTTGGTTTTAATTTCTCAAACAGTAACCTTTTTTCCATTTTTGTATGAAATGTTGAAAAGCTTTTCATTAAGAAACTTTTCAGTCCCTTAAGATTCACTGTGATCAAATCTCTCCATAAATTTTTCTTTGATTCTATAAACAGATTCTGAGTCTTTGACTACAAGGCACACTTTCTAACACTTTGATCCTCTTCCTGGCTCCATTTGTAATCATTTTGCTTTGGTGTGTTTGCATTCACTTAAAAAAATCATGTTTAATTAAAAAAAAAAAAGTCTGATGCTTAAATTACACTACAAATTATGTCTATGATGTTAACACAGTAGTCTTTATTTTAGCTATATGAGTCAATGCCATTTGTCAGCTTGACGACAGTGGTAGTGTTCAGCTTTATAGAAAGAAAGGGTTTGCTGGAATTCTCTTTTCACAGAATTTGTTCCAATGTGCACTTTGAACTGCTTTTCTGTCCAAAAGTATCTAGCCTTGGTGTGATGCTCATCTTCCATAAAAAGTAATGGTAAAGTTCCTGTTGACTTCTAGCAGCAGATAGGAAGAAATGCCAACATTTCTGAAAGACCTTAGCCTAAATTATTTCTTCTTGATAATTCATAATGCATTTATTAAATTCGTGCTTTAAAAAAGGGTGCCACCAAAGTATTGGCACATTTCTGCCTGCAAAGCATTGAGTTATTAGTTCAGAAAGCACATATCTATATATATTAATATAATTGAAGTAACAGCCTTTAAATTGTTAAAATCATGCTATGACTTAAATAACTGTGAGTCATTTAAACTCTCTGAGCCCTCTATCTTTCTAGGGGCAAGTGAAGTTTCAAATTTGCTTTGAAACCCCTCAGAATTTATTTCTATTGGAGACTGGATAATGTAAGGATTTTAGAATAGAGTTTAAATTTCCTCTTAGTTCAAAGCAGTTTTTCATAAATTGTGTCAGTTATCCACAGCTCATGGTTATGCCTTTAAATTTCCTCTTGCCTCTTCATTAACTAGAAACAAACTTACTCACCATATAGAATGAAGAAAGGACGTCCTTTAAGGATTCTAATCTCAGACTAGAAAAATGGACATCTGGTCACTGTAAATGCAACTTTCTCAAATAAGCAAGTAAAATATTGAAAACTTCTACAGAGGCCACCATGATTCCAATTTTGGCTTCTCTGGAGGATGCGTTACCAGAGCAGGGAATATGTAACAGTCATGCATTACTGAGGAAGCACAGCAGAAAAGTCTAATATATTTTCCTGTGCATCATACCACGGTTTACAACTTGTAGGTGATATTGCAGGGAAAATATTCAAAGGATGTAGTAATAATGAGGAACAATCTTCAACTTTTAATCACTTTTCAAAAAACTGTAAGCTGTGTCGTGGTTTAACCACGACAGCTGCTACTAGGCTGCCCTTAGCCTCCCCTTAACCCAAATAAACAAGCACAGCTCTCTTGGCGTCTCTTCATAGGTTCTGTGCTTTAGGCTTTTGGCCATCTAGTAGCATGCTGCTGGATGCTCTTCAGTTTCTTGACGTCATTCTTGAACTTGGGGGCCCAGACGTAAATGCAGTAATTCATGCCAGTGGGGACTTTTCATAGTATCTTATTCACAATGAGAAAACAATTGGCTCATATGCTACCTGGCGTCTATCATAACCTTCAGGTGCTTCTCAGCAGGGCACATAGCAGCCAGGCTCTTCACTACTCCTTTGTTTTAAATTTTAAAGTATTAACACGACTTTGCACAGGTTTATTTTTTGATGTTTTTTTTATCTTCCAGTCAGCACAGAAATATTTAAAATAGAAATCTCAAACAACAGAGTACTGGAAAGCAAGTACATAAATAAATGAATAATTCTGTGACATTCGTTGTTGACAAAACTGTATTGCCTACACTACTATTAAGGGAGGTAATGGGTGTAAATGGCACAGTAAATTGCATTTTAAGGAATTCTTCATTCTTCAGTGTGGTGAGTTTTAAGTGAGATTCCATATTTCATAGCTGAATATTTTTAGTGCCTCTTGAGCCATAGTTTAAAATCATATGCTGTGCTTTTGAGTCATTCTGATAGATTTCCATTGCTAGTTTGGAACCACCCCAATCCAAGAGCTCTGTGATGATGTCTAGAAAAGTAGGGGAGCTAGGAAGCTTGCACTGTGCTTTTTAAATGACTGAAGAATTCTGTAAGAAGAACATGCGAACTCTGATACGAAAACTGGAGGCAGGATACAATGTCTGCTGGTATACATCCTTTGAGGTTGACCTAATCTCCCAGGCATGTGAGATAAGTAAGCCATAGAGGCCTCTAATATGCAACGTGTATGTTTTACACATTTCAGCAGTGGACCTCCTTGAACACCTTTGCCATCTGTCACCTGTGAACATTCTTTGTTCAAAGACCCACAATGTATGTGGTATGAGTTTTGGGACTACTGATTATATGAAGATTTGATATGTACCTCACAAGGTCAAAAAGCCTTTTTTTTTGCAGAAATGTGCACATCATTTGTATTTTTCAGAGGAGATAAAACCATGAGAACAGATATTTACAGGGAAGAGGATTTTGTCATATGACACATGACCCCGTCGTACAGAGGAGTTTTGAGAAAATTGCAGGGTTTCCTTAGCGCTTCAAGGTCAATATGTTTTGTAGTAGAATGTTTTCTTTTTGGTTTTAATTTCTAAGACTCCCTGATATCAGTTTGCATGCTTCCATTTCTTTGCATTCAAGATGGTTTCTTTCTGTTTTCTTCCGTATTTCAAGGGTACTAAAGTCTTCTTATGTTACTGCAGGTTACTTCAGCACAGTATTTAGCAGATTGTGCCCTTCAAATTATTACTGGTGTTTCAGGTAACGCTTCCTTGAATTGCTAACCTAAAGTTTTGAAAGATAAATTTGATATTAGATACTATAATCTTTATTAACATCAGCTTTATTATTTTGGTGTACTTGCTGATTCTCTGCAAGTTACAGCATGTTATCAACTTAGAATCAGGAGAGATTTCACAATCTGCCATTGAAATAGCCTCACTTGAGAGCGGATATGTTATGATTTATTATTCAGCTATCTCTGATGTAGAATTACTTGGAACATTCATTCCAGCATTCTTCTTAGCCTGTGGATTATGAAATTGCTAAAAATATTTTACAGGCATCTAGAGCCAAAAAACAGTGGCATGGTCACATTCAAACCACAGGGTCTGAATCTCCACAGTTCCCCCATTTTTATGTTGGTGAAACTTCATTTGAATCAGTGGTGTGATATCCTGAAGAATAAGGATGCAAAGGGCTAGTGCAGAACCTAGCTTTAATTAATCTTCATTAGTGTTCTGGAGGTGGAAGCAAACAGCTCATTAACAGAATTTGCAGATGTGAATAAATTGAGAGAAGTTATGTACCCAAGGGAAGACTGCAAAATAATAAAAGGACATCCAACAGGGGTTTAAAATGTGGACAAAAAAAATAACAATTTAGCTCAGGAGAGCTTATATTAATACAGCACAGAAATAATTAAAAACACAAGAATACAAATTAATTCCATAAATTAGAGAATGAGACATTGTATCAGCAGAAGAGTATCTTTTCCATTAAGTATTTGGAAAGAAAACCGGGAAACAGAATTAGAGTGTCACCAATGATAGGCAAAATAGGTAGGCAAAGTGGATAATTAGAGGCATGATACAAGATGCTTCTGCTTTAAGGGTTTTCAGTGAGCTGATGAAGTCTCCAATTCACTATACATGCTCAGTTAGCTCCAGCATTGGATTTTCCATGACTTCAGTTGTCTAAATATTCTCATTTTTTAATCAGTCTTGCCAAATGATGGCTGGGTTTAACCCTGATGAAAATGTGTATGACAGTATGCAATTTGGAATTTGAAAATGTACAGCCTGTGTATGCCTGTTGTCCTTTATTTATTTTTATGTATTGGTAAAGTTAAGAATTCTGACAAAATAAGAAAATAAAGAAATTGCTGCTGATCACTAAAGAGCAAGTATTATACCCTTCTGGCCTATCAGGAAATCCTCACAAAGCTATTTCAGTTTTTAGTAAGCTTATTTACAGAAATACATAATAATGTTTTAAATTACATGTTTGGGTAAAATAATTCCTTTTATTTTCTGTCTTTGGACCTCTGTAGCTGAAGACATTTATGTATATATATTTAAAAAAAAAAGTAAAATCAATGACTGTAAGAAAATTATATTTGTTTACACACCACTTTTATTCCTACATTAGGTTCTATGTTTCTTCACTGTGGGGAATAATAGACACACTGAGCAATAAAAATTGTACTGCTTGCTAGCTGTAAAGACAGTCATGAGCTCATCAGGACGTAATGCCATTTAGATGTGAGCCTAAGGTTTGCTAAACATTGCCAATGACTTTTAAAGCTAATCTGTATTTCTTTTATATTTAGAAAGTTAAAAATATAATTAAAAGCTTCAGTTTGTTTAGCATATTGCTCAAACATAATACAGGTCACTATATACCTGATATGTTTTGCAGCAGTGTCTTCCCTCCAGTACTTTCTTACTCATGGCACTTTTCTTCTTGTTATCCTTTCTCCTTGTTTATTTGTTCAAGGTTCATATCAAACCAGAAAATGTTCCTTTCTATTCCCAATACAGCCATTCTTCTTTCTCTTCTGCCTGCCTTTTTGTTAGAATGTTGTTTACTGCAGTAGCTTTTCCTCTGCTTTTACCTTCCTTCTCTAATTGCATTGAGGACTATTTGGAATGATTCCCTCTGTCTCTAAAGACTCTTAAAGATCAGATTAATTGATCACCTCATCATTTTTGCCGTCCCTTAGTTGGAGGTGGCCTAGAGCTTATTTTGAGCTTGACTTAATATGATGTTCTCCTGTCATTGCCACTCAAGCATATGTATCACAGCTGTGAAGCTGCAGAATATGGAAGTTTTTGGCAGGTTGCTTTGCATTTGAGGATGATGAGATAGAAAAGCTATATGAGATAAAAAGGAGATGTAGCATCCTGAGACACAAATGATCACATATGGGAAGGAAGTAAAGAAAACAAGGATTGTGTAGGCTTTAACCTCAAGTGCAGATTTTTGTGTGTCTGATTGCCTAACGATACACATCTGTGAAATCAGCGTTGCATGCCCTCTGAAAAAAGGCAGTTCAATTTATTGATGTTATTGTGGAATGACAGAGCATGATTTGATCAGCATTTGTACAGTGCAATTGAACTCAAGAAAAATGAGGAATACTGAAAATATGTAGGTTTTGTAGACAGGCAGAGGAGGATGAGCAATGGAATGGAATTTCAGCTAATGTGTGTGGTATGTCCGGAATCTTTATCTGAGATATAGTATTAAAATTGAATTTCTCAGAAGAAATATAGGACTGTCAGAGAAACACCACTGGCAGCATGAGAAAAAGTAATCATTACTTTCAGTCTGTTATTTATCTGCTTTACAAGCATAAATCAGTCATTATGCTTTATCACAAAATAGCTAATATGACACTTCCCCTATGCAATTCCACAGGTATCCAGTGAGACAATCTTCTTGGCTGTCAAATACATGTACCTTGGAATTGCTTTAGGGTCAGAATCCCCTTCTTTCACCAAATGGAGTCCTCTCATTCATCACTTTAGGTCAGGTCACCCAAGTAGTGCTGGTGGGCTTCCTTGGCTGGCTTCCCTGCATGGCAGCTGCAGAGTTCTGGCCATGATTAATCATGTTGCATTTACAATGCTATATTAATTGTTTTGCTTCACAGCTGAAAAAAAACCTTCAAAACTGTTAGGTCTCTAACAGGACACAAATTGCCAATTTAGTTTCTTTTACCAGGAATAAAAATTTATCAAGCAGTAACACTGCATAGATCACAGCTGATGTGATACTCTAATCAGAGATTTGTAGTTGTAGTTTAATATTGCTGTTCTAAGAGTGCTACAGCACCTCTTTTTTCTTATGATTATGACTCAGGATCCTGAAGATTATGAAGTACCATTCAGCCAAATAGCTACTATTGTTTTAGAGATTCTAAAATAAATTAATAACTAGGACATATCAAGATCTATGTTTAAGCTAAGCTTTCATATTTTCTCTAAAATAGGTTTTTATGTTTTAAACTCTTGTGGCCAATAGATTTTGCATTTTGTACAAAGCCTGAAAGCTAAAGCCAAATTAGGTAATGCCTGTTTTCCTTTTTTAAAAAAAAAAAAAAAAAAGAAAAGGAAAATAACAAAGAAACAAAACCCATTCTTTTTTTTTTTAATTTTTAAACAAAAAATATAGTCTGGGATTTGAACAGGAGTCTACAGGATTTATTTCCTTTCTGTCCCAAACACTGAGTCCGGTAGGTGCTCCTTAAAGCTTAACTCTTGTCTCTAGCTTTCCTGTGGCCAGAGTGCTTAGTACCATTCTGTTGAATCAAATCCTACTTTGCCCATTTTTCCAAAATCCATCCCAAAGCTTTAGTCTGTGATTTCACATCAGGGATTAGTAAGCCTAATAGCTGTTGCCTACCATAAAAAAGACAACACTGTTTCTTCATTTCCCACCCTCCGCCACAGAGTCCTTCCATCTTCTTCACTGTTGTTCATCTGATACATGGTGGGTGAGTTGATAGTCAGAAATTATCCACTGGGGGACAGAGGGAGGGAATACTGTTCCTTACTAGTATCTTAATTAGTTCACTGGGGAAAGAAGGGTGCCTTCACTTAAAGAAGGCATACAGGCATATATGGTAGGAAGGAGCTGCAAAGGGGGGGACAGAAATCTGTTCTGACAGGAGAAAGCTTGAAACTCACCTTTAGCATCTATTTAATCCAGCAAGCTGGATTAAATAGAAGTGTTCCCATTACATGGGAATCCCAGGGCATTCTGAATCACATTCTTATTTATTTTTACAGTACCTTTATAGTTGTTACTCATGATACTCATTGCTGAACGGCAAATATCGATGTGAAAAACAATATACAATATTATACTGCTTATTCTGCTTTTTGTTCATCATGATCTTGGCAAATTATCACCAAATATGGTTCTTCTCTCATTTCCACGTGTAAAATCATAAATATCTCTGCTGAAGACAACCAAATTATGGTGCTACAGAAGTGGACTGAAGAGAGTTTGAAGGTGATGGTTCTTGGTTGGATATTACCCCCTTGTATGTGGCTGAGGATTGGGTGACACAATGATGAAGAGCTGCTCAGCTTCTTTTTTTGTGTGTGTTTTGAAGCTTCCAGACAAAACAAGCCACTTGTAGCTCAGGAAAACTGTTCTCTATTAAAAAAACCAAAACAACAACAAAAAAAGAAAACAAAGAAAAAAACCAACAACCAACAAAAAACCCAACAAAAATACAGCAACAACAACAAAAAAAATAACACACACACAGAGAAAAAAAAAAAATCGGTGTGGATGTTGGCCTTCATATCCTCTGTGAAAGGGTATCTGTTCCTGAGAAGCAAACTTCATCCTGAAACTAAAGGCTCCACTAGATTTAGTGCTTTGGTTTATTAATGCTTTTGGCTGTGTGCCCTGCCTCTCTGCTCATGCTGCTTAGACTAGAACAGATGCATGCCCATCCCTCCTCAGCCTTTCTTCATAGGATTGTTTTTTACCATAAATTCACTGCCTTTCACTACTTGAATTAATATGTTGAGCTGTGAACTTCAGTGAGTCAGGTAACAAAGCATGTTTCCTTCTACTCCTGCTATGGGCCAGTAAATTCTGGTAGAATGCATAAGGAGTGGGTGTGATGTTTTGTCATATAGCCATTAAATCCATTGGCAAAAATCTGTCAGAGTTCTAAGAAACTCTCAGCATACAGCCATACTCTCAGCGTAGTTTGGGAGAAACTGGGAATTCTGAGGCCGAATCTTAGTTTTATAAAGAAGGTATTTCAGATATTTTCTGCCATCTCATTCCTCTCAAATTTCACTAAAAAAAAAAATCATATAAAAAGACAGAGTATTGGAATAAATCAGTCTATTATCCATTTATCTACATAAGGTCATGAACTTTAACATTTAGGTCAGCAAAATGTACAAAAAATTTTTTTGCCCAAAAGGCACTCTGACTGGCACACTGCAAAGTATTTATTTTTTATTCAGTCTCATCTAATTGTATGTGATTATATCTGTTTCAGTGCATCATATAAAAACAAGAAGAAGGAAAGTTTTATAGTATGGCGCTCATCATCTAATGTGGTGTCTTTTGTCATGCACATTTCACATTCTTTTTGCTGTATGACTAATACATGTGAAGAATTGGAATGTTTTAACATGTCCCTTTAGAAACTGGGATAAAAATAAAAGCTATGTAGTCAAATAAAAGCACGAAATAGAACACACCGAATTTTCCAGTACATTTGCTTTGCTCTGAACTATCAGTGCCATTTGGTTTAAAGGCAAAATAATTCAGAAGAAGTAATAATATAAGAATGATCTAAGAGTAGGA